CTGGGTCCTTGGCCCCCCCCGTGAGGGGGAAAGGCCATGCGGCTGGCTGCTCTGGGCTCTGCACCTCCTCTGCCATACAAGGCCCCACGTCCCCCTTCACCCACCCAGCTGCAGAGCACAGGGAGAGAAAGGGAAGGAGGGAGGGAGGGGCTGTGGAATGCAGAGTGATGTGATATCCCTCTGTCATCCTGCAGGAAAATCTTTTTATATCTAGAAAGAGATAAAAGGTTGTTACAAGGAGGAAGGAGAAAAACAGCTCTCTTTAACCTGTTAAAATAGGACAAGAACCAGTGGGCTTAAACTGCAGCAAAGGAAGTTTAAGTTGAACATTAGGAAACACTCCCCAACTGTCAGGGTGGTTAAATACTGGATAAATTGCCTAGGCAGATTGTGGAATCTCCATCTTTAGCCCCCTGCTTCTGAGAGAGGGGGAGAGAGACAAGGGGGTGCATGCGTGCAGTGCTGCTCTCCCACCTCCCTGGAGCACTGGGGGAGGGAAGGAAGCTGCGTAGCATGGCTCCCAGAGCACCATGGGAGGGAGGATGCCACCTGGTTCCAGCCTTCCTGGCCCAAAGCACATGGAGGGAAGGAGCTGGGGGCAGCAACGATCCGCCTCTAGAATGCCTACAGTAGGCGTTCTGGGGCTGGAGTGTGGTCAGGGCTTGCTGCCTAAGCCTCAGGATGCTTATGAGCTCCATATAGGTTTTATTTTCCTAGTTTATTTATGACAAGGTCATGCAAGACAGTATCAAAAGCCTTATTAAAATCAAAACTTGCCACTTCTACCACTTTCCCTTATCCACAAAGTTTTGTAACTCTGTCAAAGAAAGTTATTTGGTTGCTTTTACAGGATTTGTTATTGACAAATCCATGCTATTACTTATCACCTTGTTATCATCTAGATGTTTACAAATTGATTGCTTAATTATATGCTTCGATGGCTTTTCAAAGATAATCACTAATGACTGAGATCTCCTGAGTCACTTCCTTGAATATTATAGGATATATTTCATCAAACAGTGGGGACATGACGACAACTAACTTGTCTAAGAAATTTTTAACTTGTTCTTTCCAAATTTTTGGCCTCTGATCCTATCTCATTTTCACTGGTATCTATTAAGATAGCTGTTCAATAGAAAATAATGGAATTATAGATTTTTGGTAGAAAATAACACTCATTTATATTGCTACCAGGGAAAATAACATCTCCTGATCACCAGGAAAGTGTTATCCATAAGCTAGACAGGTGCTTAGTGCGCCACGTTTCTTGGGAATGTCATTCTGAGAGAACTGCTGGTCTATAACCCAATCCCTGAGAACACAGATCATGCTAGCAATAAAACCTTACCCTAGAGAAGGACAGAAGAAGAAAGATAGGGAGGCTGGAGAGAAGGAGACACAAAAAAGGGGAGGCCCTGGGGTAATGGTGGAGCAAAATATTTGTGAGTGTCAGTTATGATGCCTTTTGAGCAACAGCAATGCCCTTTACCTGTTCAGATAGGACACTCTTTTTATGAACTATAGGTTTCATAATGACTGTGAAGAATGAACTGTTTTTAATCTTAGGGGCAATCTTTTCCATAGGTCAGGCTTCAGGCATATTGGAAGGCCATTATTTTGTCCATATTTGCTTTGTACATCGAGAGAAGCATCCAGTATAAGCAGATTTTGGTCTGGACATTTTCACATGAATGGCAGTGTCCCGTGTTTTACAAAAACCTAAGTGCTAAGATCCTACATAAATAAATAAATAAATATATATATATATTAATCACACTGTTTAGATGAACTTACTTTGCATTTAAATCCTCTTCCTGCGAAAGACTGTAACAGCTGTATAAGAGATTCATTTGACCTCGTAAATAATGTGATTATTTGTAATGCCTTGCTACCTGTTTGCACATTATATCCTGGCTCAGTTTTACTCTTACATTGAGGAACTACAATTTTCAACTAAAAAAAATCTCATGATTATAAAATACCAGCATTAATGAAGTCAATACAAACTGAAGGTGACATGTTCTTCAGGGGAATGGAAGGGTTTTGTTCACATGCTTAACTAAGGGTGCATCTAAACTGCAGGGTTTTTTTTGAAAAACATGTTTTTCCGAAAAAAACTTCACTTTCATCCACATTGCTGTTGCGTTCTTTCGAAAGAAAATCGAAAGCACGCTGGTTTTTC